AGATAGGTCACCGACATCGTTTTTGAGATAGCGGCACATTTATGGGTTAAATTGGAAGGCTTTATGCTGTCGTCATGTTGCCATGGGAACATTGACATCGTCGAAATCTAGTTCGAAATATTCCTTAGGTGACCAATATTGTCACCAAGTCGAAAAGAATTCGCGTTCTACACGAATAAGCCTGTTTTACGGAATTATTGCTTAAACAAATATAACTGTAGGGAGCCACCTTAAATCTTTAATTTTAATTCTTTTTAATACCTATCTAATTTGCATGCTTTTTTGCCCATGCGCCATGACTGGTTCTTGATGCTACCTGGAATTACAGATAGAAATGCGTGTCAAATTACACAAATAATTCATAACAAATATTAAATTATATTAACGTGATCGTAGCTGATCCAGTGACCCACTGATACGTCTCACGTTTGTGAAATATATATATGTTATTTACCGGCTGCGAGGTCCGGATGAGAAAACCTGTGCCCGAGGTCTTGAAAACGGCCCGAGCCCGAAGGATGATTTCAAGACCGAGATCGCAGTTTTTCTCGTCCGGACCGACGCTGCCGGTAAATAACGTGTTTATTTTTTATCAGATGTAAAAATTAAATTCATTAAAATTCCAGTCTTGCTTGCGAACTAACTATTTGAGATTAGTGTATTTTCAAAGCGAGGCCACAAAAATTGAAAAGTTGAAAGATATAAAAACACCAATACGAATTTAAACTCGGGAAAACTGGCAAGAAACACACAAAAAGACGTGTAGTTTCAATATGGTCGCAGAAAAAGTTTTATGCCTTATATTTTTGTATTGTTTCTTGTCGTTTCACGATAATATGCTTGAAAAAAGTGTTTTTAAACACAAACTTTTACTTTGTTTACAATATTTATATCAGTGAAAAATGCATCACACAAATGGGTAGAGAATAAATATTCGTGACTTGTTTTCACTACTGCAGTTAAACCTTCTTTTAAATGGGAAACATTTATTTTACAATAACTGTTTAAGCTGTAATTTTTTCGCTTTTAAGTGGCCGAATACATGAGCATTTAAAAAATATTAAAGGAATACCGAATGATTTTCCGTGCAGGATTGCGTGACCATGCACGCGGGATGTTGCGAGACTTTCGGAAAGCGTAAAAATACACGAGCCGTAGGCGAGTGTATTTTTACGCTTTTCAAAAGTCGAGCAACATCCCAAGTGCATGGATCATGCTATCCATGCAGCACGGGGAGATTGTCTATTTGGCGTGGGTGGGTGGGTCGTGCGTCGTGGGTCGTGGGTCGTTCGTCGTGCGTCAGTAAATCGCAAAAAAATTTAAAACCGAACTATACCATGAACTGCCAAAATTTTGCACGAATCTTTTTAGCTATGCCACATCTCTATTAACTATGGCCACATTGACAAAAATGCTGGTAGATTCGCTGAACTTGTGGGTGGTTGAATTTAATTACAGTAATTTAACTTGTAAAAGACATCGGTGACCTCCAAATTTAGGCTGTTGAGGCATATCGATATACCGATAATAATCGTTTTTTTATAAATACCGATTACTAGATATTGGAATTTTCATATCGGAATATCGATATTTTTCGGTATTATCGATATCACGTTTACGTTTGTATATTTAAACGTCATATCAAGCTTTTTCAAGCGCTGATTGAAGTTATTTCAGAAGGACAAAGACGATCAATGTGCTAACTCCGCGGGAAAATCCGTCAATTAAGGTTAGAGCGCGATCTAAAACGTGTTTGTTTATACGTTACGTTGGCGTACGTTGCAAGGTACGGTAATATGTCATTTCGCTTAGTTATAGGTAATATGTCATTTCGCTCGTGAACTTTTAGAACGTAAACAACGGTGGATTACAAATGTTTTAGAAAAACAAGAACTAACCTCATTGGACATTGTTAGTTTTCTGGTGATATAGGACGATCTTTGTTTCGAACTCGCAGTTGAATAAAA